AAGCCGTTGCTAAGCGATTTTCAGCCAATCATTTTCAAGTAATTTTTACCGGGGCAATTACAAAATTCAAGAAAAAATGCCCTCTGTCTTGACCAATCACAATTTAGTAATTTTGCCCCTTATATATAAGCTCAGTTATTACCGCTATTGCCTCATCTAACTCTGGCATCCCTTGAATTTCTTCAGCTGGAGCGGCCCCACAAGTACTTGGCCCTCCTGCATTTATCACAAAGACATTGCACAGAAAATCATTAGACAGGAATTTGTAGTGCATGTGTGGAGTTCTTGTGCAATTTCTGCAATGACAATGTCTGTGTCTGGGACCTGAGCGGGCTTTAAATTGGCACTCTCGTGTCGAAGAGTATGTGTAGAATAGTTTCATTCAACTTAGTGAGCTGGCCGCTGCCTCCACTTCCCGTCTTCTTTTGCTGACTGACCTTCCCTATGGTCGCCCGCCGAATGTTTGCCCACATAACATCTTGCAAACCTGCAGCACTCTCTATTCCAGCATCCACGCCATTCATTTGAACACGAATGTTCTCCTACACCTCTTGCACTTCCTTTTTGTTACCGTCGAAGAAAATGGTTGCAGCAGGACCGATTTAATATCTCTCACAAGCTGTGCCAGCAACAGCTTTTATTGTTTAGAAAGCATAGTGAAAAGCTGAATCCTAAAAAAGTTTCGTTTCGAGAATAAGTCAGTAGTTGTTTAGAGCTGCGCTTGTTCCTCACAAGTGTAAAGACGTGTAGTTTACACCTGTAGTGCTACTTTAATTTTGTAGGTTACACTTGTAAGACACCTTGGACTACACTTATGAAAATCTACAAATAGTGTAAAAGTTTTGTTGAAGTGACCCCAGAACTGCATGAATATTGAAGACCTGTGGAAGATCTGGGAATGGGATGAAAAGGTTTGGCATTCACAGGCAACAGGTCTCTGTTTCAAACTTCTCTGTGAGTATTGCCTCCAAAACAAGTTACTGCATGATCCATATCATTGTAGCCATCATTCCACAAAGACTGAGTACCAGCTTTATATTTTGTGACATGTTTCATGACAAATTTTTACCTCAGGCACAATTGTTTTCTCAAAAATGATCTGTGTAATGTGGATTGGACTTGTAACCCAGTTAACCCTTCACATAACTAACATCAGTATGCATATTCTCCAAACTGTTATCTATACATTTCCTAAGGTGCTGACAAGGAGAATTTTGTTAAGACATTAAAGAGCTTCTTCACTTGGCAATGATATTTCCTTTATTCTTGTGGCTTAAATGTGTGATTCTGTGGTGATATTGTAAGGAGAAATTAGATGCTAGTCATTCTTAAAGTGCCGATGAAGTAAAAAAAATTTTGCCCTGTTTGTTTGCTTATGTCTTGGTGAACACAGCTAAGCGATTTTGACCGACCAAAGGCACTTTCTTGTCTTATTTTTTGAACCTCAAAGTTTGGATTTCGCAATCTGAAATGAGTCCATTTTGCGCGCGGTCAAATCTCTTATCTTACACAAGAAGTGACGTAGTTGGTGGTGCTGAAGACGACAGTTGCATGGCGGACAAGGGGGCGAAGAACGTAGCAAAGAATTATTGCGCGGCCGGTGGCCCCAATAAAGTGAATTGCTCCAACAAAACCGGAACACCTGAGATTTCCATGCATTACTTTCCCAAGGAGGAAAGTTTGTGGCAGAAATGGACGCGATTTGTCCGGATAAATCGGAAAGATTTCGTGCCGAAGAAGTCGTAATGCCTGTGTTCCGCTCACTTTGACGATAGTTGTTTTGAACACAAGCCGGTTTCTTTAATGGATGCAACTATAGAAGCTATTCAGTTAAAAAAACTTAATGATCTTAAAGAAATGAAAGATATGATTAAATATTAACTATTAAATACAACGTTTCAAGATAAATTATTTAAAAGCAGTTCGCATACATTCTTTTTAAAAGTCCTCAGTGAAGGGGTTAACTTTAGGTCCAAGGGGTGTGAGTTCCAAACTTTTGCTCCCCGAAAGGCAAATGACCTCTGGCCAGTAGAGAGTCGACAGTGTGGCAAGTTGAGATCATTATTATCAACAGATCTAAGTTGTCTATTATGAACTTGTGATCTATATACAAATTTGTATTTTAAATAGATGGGCACCCGATGGAGTAAGCATTTATGCACCATGACGGCAGTGTTTAACCGCAATTCATCTTCTATGCTGAGCCACCTAAGTGATTTAAGGCCCTGAGAGATGTGATGGAACTTTTTCAGGCCGAGTACAATCTTTCCCGCGAAGTTTTGAACCAGTTGCAGCTTCTTCATATTTGACTTGGATGTGTTTCCCCAAACAGTCGAACAATAAAAGAGTTTACTAAATACAAAGGCATTAATCGTTAAAAGTAGAGTTTTCCAATCTAATAAGTGTTTTATCTTATTTATTTGAACAAGTTTGTGAACACAGCTCGAAACTAGCTTTGATATATGTTCATTGTAATTGAGAGTTTGGTCGATATAGACACCCAGGTCTCTGGCAACAGAAACAGGTTCAATCTCTTTTCCCAGGATGGTGACCGATAGACATGGCAAATTACGCAAGAGTTGTGGAACGCCAATAACCAAGAGTTTAGTCTTGTCAGGGTTAATCAGTAGTGAATTCTTGCAGCACCAACGGGATATTTCGAAAAGGTCTTCATTTAACGCGCTGCTTCCGTCAGTAATATCACGAAAAGGAAAAGATAAGAAACCTTTTGTGTCGTCTACGTAACCTGAAGATTTGCAGTGCTTAGGAATCGACAATAAATCGTTAACATACACTGTGAACAGTACTGGATCCAGGATGGAGCCTTGGGGAACCCCGACATTTACAGGTAATGGATCAGAAATAGCGTCTTCGATTCTCACGAATTGACTACGTTTTGTAAAGTAACTCTTAAACCAGGTCCAAGCGGCCCGGTAGAGACGCCGATTTTGTGGAGTTTCATAAGTAGGCGGTCATGCTGAATGCTGTCGAAAGCTTTCTACATATCTAATTAAACAATCAATGAATTTTTCTTCTCATCCATGTTCTTTAAAATGTTATCTGTAAATTGAAGAAAAGCCGTCTCGGTAGAGTGTAATTCACGATTACCGCTTTGAAACTTTGAGACTTTACCGATGCGATTCAGAAAATCAATAAGTTGACGATGGGCGAGTCTCTCACAGACCTTCGATAACATTGAAAGCAAGGAAATGAGCGTGTATTTGCTGGTTTGTTGGAATCGCCAGACTTAAGGACAGGTATCACTTCTGCCACTTTCCACGATCGAGCAAAAGTGCCTGTAGCAAACGACTTGTTAAACAAATGTGTGATTATTGGGAGTATTGCAGGAAGACTATCCTTAAGAACTCTAGATGTTATTTTGTTGGCACCAGGAGCTTTATTCGGGGGTAGACCAATAACGATATTTTCAACTTGAGATTCGGTTACCGAAGAAAACTTAAAAAGCTCTCGATGGTCATGTTCATGGACATCATTTGCAAAGTTGTAAAACAAGTCATGACCGCTTGGAGGGAGGCCAAATTCCTGAGCAAGTCGTCTTGCTTTGTCTGCAGTAGTTCTACCAACTGAAGTATAGTACTCGTTGAACGTATTGGATAGGCTCAAAGAGTTCTCGGTTTTCAAAGGGACTCTCTTCCTTGGTAAGCAACGGTTAATTACTTGCCAAATTGCGTTCGAATTTTCTTTGCAGTTTTGAAGCTCGGTTCGAACGTACAATTTCTCGGCAAGTCTGATTTCACACTTTACTTCCTGCCTAAAGAATCTGTAGGCATTCCAGCAGAGGCGATCATTTGTTCGGATAGCGCTTTTGTGCCATAAATCACGCGTTTTCATCAACTGTTTGATCTCCTGGGTGATGAATGGATTAGGGCGTGATTTAATTTTTACGCGCTTTACCGGTACATAAACATCAAGAATCTCAAGAAATAAACAATTAAAAGCATCAACTTGGTCATGCAGACTTTCGAAGAAATAAGCCATATGAAATGAGACTCGAGATAGGTCCACAAGGAAGTTATCACGATCATAGTTCCTGTAGCTTCGAATGTTGACATACGAATGACGAGGTCTTGGAGCTTTTAGCTTCAGGTTAAAACAAACCAGGTTGTGATCGCTGATAGACGATGATTTTACAATGCAATTTTCGACAAAGTCCTTATTTGTCGTTAATACAATCTCAATTATGGATTTAGAAGTTTCGCGGTGACTTTAGTTGGTCATTCGACGAGCTGAGTGAGATTAAAAGTGGAGCAAGATTCAGTCAATGCTCTGCCTTCTTAGCAATCTTCCAAAACATTGCAATTTAAATCTCCAAATATTACAAACTCTGACCCACCAACAGGGAATCAAGAAGGATTTCGACAGGGTCTCAAGGAAACTAATCGGAGTGTTCGGTGGTCTATATACTATACATAGAAGAAACGACTTTAACTTTTTGCAATTGACTTTAAGCTACAGTTGCTGAAAGGAATTTTTCGAGATGCCAGAGAGATTGCCTATAACAGATGCCTTGTAAATGTCCTTGATGTAGACACAAAGGCCACCACAAAATGATCTACGATCTTGCCGAAACAAAAAATATCCAGGGATTTGCAAGTCAGAATCATCAAGCCAAGACTCAGAGATCGTCAATATGTCGAGGCAATTGTCGATTATTGTCTGCCAAACCAGGTAAAAATTCTCTCTTGATGTTATTGAGCGGACAATGAGATGAGCGACGGTAACATTACGAGTTGAGCGCTGTCGGGCTTTTTTGGGTCTCGTGTTGTTGTTTTCCGGTCCAGGTCCAGGTTGAGGATGAACGTCACCACTTAGAGTGATTTTTAATAGTAAAGGGTTTAACGATGAACAGCAGTTCGTTGTATATGGAGCTCTTCCCTTTGAGAATCTTCGTCGAAGAAACATGGCTTCCTGAATAAACACCAGCCGAAAGATTGAAGAAGACGTCGCTGGACTTGAAATTCCCCTGTTGGATATTGAAGATGGTGCTATTCAGCATTCAGAATTCGAGAACACCCACCGACAGAGTTGTAACCACAAAGCCAGGAATAGGAAAGGGTAACTAACAGGAGACTGAAAATCGGCATCCTGACCGCCATTTTTGTCACACTAGATGCCGAAGATGATATCTGATCGTCACTATCAGACATACTTGCGTTGAAGCCCAGGAAATCGAAGCAAATAGAACTTTGATGGAGAGAATTTCAATCTGAAGCACACAAAACCATGTGTAAAAAAAGCGCGGAGAGATTTTCAATCTGAAGTACACGAAACTATCTGTAAAGAAAGCGCCAGAACCACCAACTAGGACATCAGAGCCAAACTCGTTCCCAGTTTCCGGAGACACCGATAACGTCTAATTTAGGGACTTCGAGCCACCAAAAAACCGATTTAAATTTTTTTTCTTGAAATCTATTTTGTCATTTCGTAATAAGGACATAATAAGCTACAAAATTATGCAAAAAAATATTTTCACTTCATAGGCACTTTAAGGGTCAAACAGTTAACAAGAACTGGCTTCTCTAATTTTTAAAAACTGCCGCTTAAGGTTTTTTTCTTTACCATTTTTTCATCTCCTACATGATGCAAATCCTTACCCTTTAACTTCCATTATCTAATTGTTAATTGTCCCCTCTAGCTGCTCTGCATTTTCTCATAAATTAGCCACAAGAAGTTAGTGTTAGATCAAGACAAAGTCTACCTGATCAGCTGGATGATGAATGGGTATTGTAGGGAAAAGATATCTGTAAATCAATTCTGGGAGATTATCACAACTTCTAATAATAATAATAAAGAAAACAGTAGTGATAGCAAAATTAATAATAATAATAATAATATTAGTGACATTAAGTGGTTAATAGTGAGGAAAATGATGATAATAGTTAAACAGAGTTGACAACAGGTAACTTGGGCCTCACACCAACTTGAAAAAAAATCAGGTTCTTCTGAATTTTTTTTTTATACATATAATTGTTTTGTACCCTCAACAGGGTTACAAGCTCTACTTTTTTCAAAGTCTTTAAATTTAGAAACATAAAATGATATAATGGTTACCTGCAGAGTTAAAACTTAGCTACCCCGCCAGTCCCACACCCAAAATTAACAATGGTAAACATCACAGTGTTTAGCAAACCTCTTGAGTGCATCCATAACTCAGTAGTGTGTGCTGTGGTTTTTACCATTTGTTTTATAACATAACATTGATACATTACCGTAAAAGAGTTCCCTTTTATTTAAAAGATCATACGTTACCAGGAAAAACAAGCGTGCAAAAACTATTCTTTGCATTTTCTCATGTCAGCTGCGTAAACTCATGGGTAAATGGTGGGTACTGAATTGAACAATCAAAGCGTGGGGTTTACTTTGGTTATGATATAAAAAAAATTGAAAAGGAAAGTTACAGTTTGCTGTGTAACCTTTGAACACAGGTTGCCAAATTGGCAGCGTTTGCTGCAAACTAATTATAAGTTACCAATTGACATTTATCCAATGGATTTACTGACCTTGCTTTTCTGTTAAATTCCTATGTCATCTCGTAATTTTGGACTTAATCAAGCATGTATCAGAATTAAGACTGTCAACCCTTAGGTTTAGAATGTAATATAGCTGAGATATATACTTTGTGTCTTGTAGCCTTGATGGAGTTGAGGCTATGGAGCAGCTAACTGAAAGATGTGTACAGCCATTTTATGGAAAGGAATGACAAGGACACATTTTATGGAAAGGAATGACAAGGACACATCGAAACCAGTCGCTAGACATTTTAATTTACCTAATCATTCTAAGCAACACATGGCAATCTGCAGTCTTTCCTTGCACTTAGGTGGCACGGAAAGCCGTAAAAATCTTGAACAAAAGCTCATCTTTCAAACCGGTAGTCTAAATCCCACAGGGATCAACGAACGCTTTTCATTCCACTAATTTATTCATGTTWTTCTCGTTGCCATGCTCCCACCAATAACGTAGCTCCATTTTCTGCCTTTAAAAGCACACACAACCCACAATTCCTCTATTCGCTCCGACGAAGGGCTAACGCTCGAAACGTCAGCTTTTGTAATCATTACGGTGGCTAATTTACCATTTCAACTTTGTTGATATATCCAAATTATTTCGTTACTCCCACCGACGCAGCCCCAAACAGTTTCTTTCGAAACTATCAGCCTTTATTCATTTTATGGCGGTCATGTTGAAACGCAGACTGCAGAGTACAGACTGCAGATTGCAGACCATGCAGACTGTGCAGACCATGCAGACCGTTCAGACGGGGGAATTTTTGGTTACTTCACCCTTCGATATAGTAAACCCATGATTATATATATATTTACATATTGTTACAACAGGGAAGGTTTCGTGGCCAACAGATAAGTGCCGACTGCTTCTTTTATTCTAGACTTGGCCGGTTTTTGGGTCCTCAACGAAGAGTCTGACTCGCTCAAACTCTAATCGTGATTGCGTCAAACTTTATTTGCTGAATCAAAGTGCTTATATACATAATTTTTGGTGGCTCGTTTTTACGAGATTAAATATGCAAGGCAAGGCGTGTAGTTTCCTTTTTAGTAAACACCTTAATTCGAACGTGAGCATAATGCTTTGTTCTTCCCTATTTACGTAAAAATCCCCCGCAAATTACTTGAAAGGTTTTCGGAGTTTGTTTAGCCAATCACTGTGTGCCTTCAACGCCATCCACTCCTTTAGTATACACTAATAGAAATAATAGTGCAAACTCTTAACTCATACCATGCGTTAAGCTTTTTGTTTACGTACAAATTGAGAGAAATTAGAGAACATTTAGTCTTAGAGGGCTGAACAAACAGGGCAGCCAGAACATTATAGTACTACTAATGATGATGATCTTATCGCCTTGTTGATGTCCATAACGAGAACGTAACAAATGACTCATATACTCGGGGAAAGAAACGGAAATTTTGCAAATTTTGGGGTTAGATGATTTTTTCCTTGATGCCTAAATTTACCTTAATTTCATAGTCCGTCAGCATTTTTTTGGATGGGAGATTTTATTTTTCCCTTCATAGTAGGCTTATAGACTTTCGACGCCACGGGTGATTATTTAAAATACCACTCGACCTTAAGTAAAGTATTTTTTTTTTTCGTAAAGATCGAGTTTCTGACCGCAGGAACCACCAATGAACTAATGTACTAAGAGTTTGTCGTCTTCAGTGAAAACACAACACAAACAAGGAAGTTATGTAAATGTTGAAGAACTCAGTTGCTACCTTATCCACATAAATTTTTAAGAATATAGAAATTACTGATCAAACTGATAGGGGTAGATGTATGCTGTAAACTTTTTTTAACTACGAAAATCTCGAGATTTGTTTTAACCAGCGGATGAATTAATACAAATGGACTGTAAACTATCAAGAAGGAAAGAACAGATTCGCTGACACTGCTGTGGTGTACAGCAAACGGCATAACTTTCATTTAAAAGCAAAGTTCAACTGTTCAATAAGCCTCTTTTCGCCAGTTAATGGAAGCAGCTCGCGAAAATACCTGCTTGCATTAAATGTTTTTGTATTCGTGACCTTGCCCAAGTTAAACAAAACTGTGTTCATTGAAAATTTATTTTAGTCTTTCTGCTGATAAGGGAAGAGTTCTCATACAACTTTGAAAGGCTTTGTCAATAGAAGCGTTCGGTTGGGTTCAAAAATGTTTTTAGAAAGCGGTTTTTAAACAGGCTAATCTGTTTGTAAGCGGTCTAAAGAGGTGTGCCTCTCAGTGTTCACGAATCCAATATGTCCAGAACGTTTCGGCCACGTCCGCTTCACAAAGTACAAATTTGTGAACGAAAGGTGTACTGATTGATGTCTATGCAAAGTGTACTTATTTTAATGAAATGCTTGTGCAAATCTTTGTTGTGTGCGTTGTCGGTGACCGAGAAGACATTGTGGCAAGTCTGCCCTAATTTGTATTCACAGCAAATTCCAAAAGACCTCGCATTTTCATGAAGACATTTTTATTATTTTCAAGCTAATTTATGAGCACGAAGAAAGTGTAATTCAACGAGGGGGTACAAAAGATACGAGATACATTTACATTTATATTGCGCAGATTTCTATGTGGATATATTCAGTCGCCCTTAACAGTATTGTAAGGTTGAGATCGGACGTCAGCATTTTTATCAAGCGCCTCTGGCAGCCGCTTCAGTCCATGTAGCGATCTCACCTTCCAACCCTGCATCCATACATACGTTAGTTGACTACACAGTAATCTCGTGCGTGGGAAATTAACGTCTCCTATCCCCAACCCTGTAGGAGACGGGACCTACGGCTTTACGTCTTATCCGAGAAGACCAAGCAATGTGAGTGAAGCGTCTTGCTTAAGGACACAACGTCATGCCCCAGCCAGGGGCGAACCGACCCAGAGTCCAGAGCACTGAGATTAACTTGAGCAGGCCTTAATGTTTACGAACAAGGTTAAAAAGTCAAAGGAAAGAGAAGACGAAAACCATAATGTTTTCTGCTCAAAATGCTCTAAAATAATACGACAGTCGCATCACAACAACTATAACTACAACCCTGAGACCAAGTCTTTCCCAATCGACTTTTATCTAACATACGCGGTCGCGGTAGACCGGGTGACTGGGCACGAGTTGTGTTTAAGTATCAAATTGTGTTGAAACCAGAGGGACACTCCGTCCTTTCCCTCTCCACAGGTGCACTTGAACCTTGTCTTCGTATTATTCTTGTTATTTTCTCCACCAGGAGAATTAAAAAAAAAAAGGACAAGCTAGGTCTCGCGCATGAATTTAGGTATTTCGAACACGTGTGTCTGAAGTCCTCATTCAAGTAGTCTACGAGAAGTCCCTCTTTTTCGGCGAAGTCCGACGCGCGAGTAAAAATTTAAAATCGGGGAAAAAATTGATGATAGCGCGCTTCAGGGATGGAGTGACGCTGATGCGCCGCGGGAGCTCCATGAGTGAGGTGCTTCACGTCAATTTCTTTTTTCTGATTTTTTTATTTTTTATTTTTTTATGGATTTCGCCGAAAAGGAGGGACTGCTTGAAGTCTATCATTTAAGACTAATAACCGATAATCAAA